TGGTGCGCGGCGGTGCTGCAGGAACGTGCCACAGCTAGAACTGGGTTCAAGGCATCTGCCCGTACTGTCCGCCTTGTTCCATCTGCCCAGGAGCCTGCATCCTGAGATCTAAGCAGCGGAGGCGAACATCCTTTCCTAGCATCCATGAATCATCATGAATACGATATAAATGATCATTGATGATGATACTCACAATGATGAGATGCCTCCTTGCGGATGAAAGTCAATCCTGTCCACACACTCGCATAACTTTCCACAATCTACTTGGGTGTTCTCTCACGCCTTGCCTTGATAGGACCTGTGTGGCTGCAGTTTTAGGGGGCGGCTCAAGCACGCCCCTGAGTCTCACAGTGGTGCGCGGCGGTGCTGCAGGAACGTGCCACAGCTAGAACTGGGTTCAAGGCATCTGCCCGTACTGTCCGCCTTGTTCCATCTGCCCAGGAGCCTGCATCCTGAGATCTAAGCAGCGGAGGCGAACATCCTTTCCCTAGCATCCATGAATCATCATGAATGCGATATAAATGATCATTGATGATGATACTCACAATGATTAGATGCCTCCTTGCGGATGAAAGTCAATCCTATCCACACACTCGCATAACTTTCCACAATCTACTTGGGTGTTCTCTCACGCCTTGCCTTGATAGGACCTGTGTGGCTGCAGTTTTAGGGGGCGGCTCAAGCACGCCCCTGATGCTGGGGTCCCTGCATATTTCGCTCCTGGCCGATGGAAGCTACTTGCCCTCGATTCTACATGACATGTCACTGCAGCCAATACACTTTGAATCGAAAGCTTTCCACAGACCTTCGGGTCATCCATCCTGGGCTTGCTTGACTCAGCGTGGAACGGAGGGGACCTCGGCGTGACAAGGGTCCCCTCAGAGTTGTTATGACTTCCGACTGAGCCCGCAACAAAAAGTCAGTGACCCAGCTTTCAGGCAATGCCTGGAGAGTTCAAAGGACGAGGACTGGGGGAAAGCATAATTGTCTTCTCTCGCATGAGAGAACTAAGATGCACTAAGCTTCCACGGGCAGTCATCGAGTGTCGAAGTTTGGCTGCTTGTGAACACTACAAGCCAACGTGCCTCTACCGGAAGTGGCTTTTCATAGTCGACATCATCAACCGGAGTCGTTCGACCTTGATTTGCAAAGTCATGGGGCTGGGGCGGACTGAGTAATAATAGCGGAAAACGATGGGCAATAAACAACAGAAAGGAAAAACAAGTAGAGTGGCACCATGTTGAGTGTGCGCAGCGTCCAGGAGCCCATGGAACAGCAACCTAATTGGGACCCACGTGTTCAAGCCTTAGAGGACCGAAAAGGTCCAAAAACTCGATTCCCTGGCCCGCTTTCCGTTCGAGGGTGTCGAGGACCCAAAGCTTCGCAAAATCGGTTAGGTGATCTGACAAAGAAAACACGGAAGGAATCCGCCGCCTTGTCAAGCGTACAGCATCGCTACTCGTGTTTGCATCCGGAAGTAATATGCAAGTTTTCCGTTATTAGTACACGTGGATCTGTCATCGAGAGCAAATGGAAAGTTCAAGACAGAGGTTACGGTTCATCGAACATGCTCTACCATTGCTCTGGCCCTCAATCCCGGCCTAAGTTCAGAGTTGTTGAGCTGCATGCGTCAAAGATCTACGGCATGGGAAAACTTGCGAAAGAAGCTATGAAAGCGTGCAAAGCTAGCAACTGAACTCACTTCCCAGTGTTGATCTGATCTGCTGCTGTCTGCTGGGAGCAGCGGCGCTCATGGCGATGGTGGTAGAAGGCACAAAGCTTGTGCCGGGGACATGCCTCCAGCTTCCAGACTCCAAGTCTAGACACACATTTCATGCTGTGAGCAAGAAAACACATGGATGATCCAGCTCTGTGCCTTCCCGCGAAGGTCTCGGCACACGGCGGTTTTGAAGTAGTGTGGGTGATAGAGCTGTTCCTGCAGCAAGGCTGCTGCAGAACACGCCGAAGACTTCAACTCACCTCCCAGTTCGAGTCCTTGGCACCATGCGAGTAGGGGCAACGGAGGCCCAGAGGACAGCGCTGGGAGTACTCGGCGCCGGTGTCCTGCAGGCAGAGCCCGCAGAAAAAGAGTGGCAAAGCTTCCAGGTGTTGAAGCCGGGATTCCCGGGGCCGCAGCCTAGAGCCTAAGCTACAGCCTCAACAGTAACTTAAGCAATGCACCGCTGTCTCTCAAGCTCACGCACGCACTTTAGATCCGGGCCTTCTTGCTCCAGTATGGGCACAGCCTTGGTCCAGTAGAAGGGCAGGCTGCACAACGTGCATTACAACATGAGAGGCGGTTTTACTGATCAACAAGAAAACAGGTACTATCACTACATGCAACCACAAGGTTGCATGCACCGTGGCTACCTGATCTTCAACACTGTGTACACGTGCCCACATGCGCCCGCTGCAGCGCTCGACGTGAATGCCAAAAGTTCTTACATCTGGTAACTGTGTACGAATAGCTGAAGTGAACAGATCCGACGAGAGGACGGACACGGTGCAAATCTTACGCATCTGCGGGCATGTCCCATTACAGCTGAACTGTGCGAACACAAAACTTGCGGCGACTCGTCTGGCTGCGGGTCTCTGCTGAGAGAGCGACCTGGCTCCGTACCCGATGGTGGCGGGGCGTCGCGCATCCTCCGACGTACAGCGAGAGCACCAGACTCACTTAGTCCGTCACGAACGGTGCAACGGATGTGCAAAAATCAGGACTGCAAACATATTTCACACAGACATCCTGCTGGGCTGTCTAGAGCTCTCCCCCGAGGCTCATCTTCCCAAATTTGAGATTCTTACGTGCCCACCC